AAGCCTACTGGCAAAACAGTAATACAGTAACATATTAATTAATTTAAAATAACTGTTTCTATTTTAATGTATTTTGAAATGCAATTTATTCCTATGATGGCATAGCTGAATTTTCAGCAGCCATTACTTCATTTTTTTTTGTCTCAAGTGTCTCATGATACTTCAGAAATCATTCTAATATGCTGATTTGGTGCTTAAGAAACATTTCTTCTTATTATCAAAAACTTTAAGAATCCTTTTGATGAATAGGAAGTTAAAATAAGATCTTTTGTAACATTATAAATGTTCATTGTCACTTTGATCAATGAAAATGCTGAATAAAAGTATTAATTTCTTACTGACCCCAAACTTTTGAAGGGTATTTTTATGATGGTCATATAGAATTCTCAAGAAAAAAAAAATCTTTAAACTGACACCTGCGTTTCTTTAACCACATCCATAAGAGACCCAAACCAAAGGACGTTATGATGAAAAGGTGTTGTCTATGTCTAAGAAGAAGCTTTCAACTCATTTGCCCAGTTAATATGTCAGAACTAAACATTTCCAAAACACTGGGACATACTGAGTAATCTAATGTGACAAGTAGGCAGGAAGTTCCATGATATCTAACATGCTGTGCTATATTAGGAAAGACACTTAGGTTCCATGCCTTAATATATCTGAACAAATTATTACTGAGTTAAGACAATAAAAACATAATTTGTCGTATTTTACCTAATCATATTAATGCTTCACATGACTCAGTGGGTAGCCCCACCCACAATGAAATCTCACTAGCCCAATATTCCACTCCACATAACCACATTTCACATAAAATATCTCCTGATTGGCTGTGATTGTATCATGTTGTGCAGTACTTTCACCTTTAATGTGGAAAGAAAAATCACTTGTCATTCAGAGAGAGCGTTGTATCCAACAGAAACTTCTCTAATGGTCCAGCTTACACCTGTTTTATGACAGATATAGTAAATCTATAATATAAAGTGCATGTAAACAACTTGACTTTAAGCACTGCTGGATAGATCCACAGTCTGCGATAAAGCATGCTGACTTATCCAGAGTCGTGAAGAGTGTGGCGACTAATCTCTGTCTGCTAAAAGGGCAAAGCTCTGAGGAGAAGTTTCCTCTGTTCCAGTTTACAACTTTCGACTTTACACAGCAGCTACTGAACCTTTTCCAATACCTTTAAACTATTGCAATTTTTGGGGGGAGGTCTTTTTCAACTTTTATTGACATTGACTTCTTATTATCAAAATTATCAATGACTATACCACAGCTCCAACAATCTAGCATATCCTTTAATATGAATTGAATACTGTTACTTTGAAATGAAAGTGTTTATTAAAGGGATAAATGAAAATTCTGTCATCATTTACTCAATGTGATGTTGTTCCAAACCTGTCAAAGCTATTTTGTAAAATCTTTTTTTTTTTTTTTTGTGGGTCTATACAATAAAGTGTTGATCTATTCAATAAAAGTGTTGTTTTGTCTTTCTTTGTATGAACAAAAACAGTTTAAAATTCTTATTTAATGTTCCACAGAGGAAAGTAAGTCAAACAGATTTGCAATGACACAAAGGTGCATAAATGACAGAATTTTCATTTTTTTAGAGAATGGCTTTAACTTTGGGTGTCAGTAGTGAAATAAAAGAGTATGAAAATGTTGATATAATAGCTTTTAAATATGGAACAATGATCACTATAGCAGCCATCATCACAGGAATTAATCTAAAGAAAGATTTCAGGTTAAATACAACTTCTTTATACAAATACACAGAGGCGGACAGTAGTGAAGTATTTTACTCTGCTGTAAAAGTACTTTTCAGGTGTCTGTACTTTATCAGTGTTTTTCTTTAGAAAACTGTACCTCACAACATTCCAAAGCATAATATTGTACTATGTTTCATATTAAATATAATTTAATACTTAATTACATTAGAAATCTATTACTTTCTTACTTTTACTCAAGTAAAAGTAATTCAAAGATTTACTTGAGTGCAAGAAAGTACTACATTTTTAATGTTCTTAAGTATTAAAGGTAATACGAACAACAACTTTTATTTATGAAATGAAGTGCAGTAAAAAGTATGACATTATGCTTTGGAATGTAGTGAAGTAAAGTTTTCCAAAGAAAGACACTCTGATAAAGTACAGTTACTTTTTAAATTTACTTGAGTAAAGTAAAAATACTTCACTACTGTCCGCCTCTGCAATTACAAATACAATCTTCTATTCTAGCAGACCAGTGTTTCATGGGGTTTAACTTCAAAAATGTGTAGCTCCTATTTTTTTTTAAAGCACTTACATGAATTCTGCATCCAAAAATATTTGTTATTTGAGCCATAAAGTTGTATAAATCATTATTTTTAAGAGGGACTACTTTTCTATTTGTATGAATTCAGATGCTTCATGTAAACAGTGCTTTACGGATAGTTATTCACTTCCATGATGCCAAATGAAAGGAACTGGGTTTACTTTTTTTGAGTGTAAATATTTGATATAGCTTTACACAGGCAAGGTCGGTAAGCAGTTCTTTCACACCAGTCTAATGCTAACATGTGTAATGTGCTAAAGTGCTTTGGTTACTCTTTCAAAACAGTGTTATAGTTGCATATTTAATTTATTCGCAGTGCTGCATACTCGCCCGCTAGGCATCCATATTAAGTATTACTGTAAACATGTTTTTCTTTTCTTTTTTTTAACTGAAGGACAAGTCAAAATTTTCATGGGTTGTCGACAGCATGCCCACAGATCCTGTCCATAGATCTTAAGTTAAACGTTACCTGGAACAATCTGGGAGAAACAACAATAGTTATCTGTTACCTTTTTCTCTGACTCACACTTTTATTTGCATCAAAATTCATTGAAGAAATTAAACAGCTGCCCTTTAAGGGTTAGCACGAATGTGCATCCAAATGAGAACTAATGAGTGCCTTGTTAAGCTCTCCGCTGCTAGTTGCTAGTCTGAACCGCAAGCAAAGAGACAACTTTAAGTAGGCAAAAATATTGAGGAGATTGGGAGACTGATGACTTCCTTATCAAAATGAATTTTTAATTAGCGATAATCAATATTCAAGGAGACGGCTTTTTGCCGTTTATAGTTCTATCAAGGATCATAAATACTTAACAGTTTTTTTTTAATCTCTTTGCAGATAAAGTTAATCCCTTACTGCTAAAAGGCAATCAGGCAAATCAGATATGATTAATTATGAATTGAACTATTACCGCAATTCCGCCAACTCTGGAACCTCGCATTAGCAAAGTGCATGCACAACACGATTCATACACAGTTTTGCTCTCTCCTGATATTTCTACAGGGCAAACGATGCAGGGGCCTATTTCATATGCAGCGTCCATCCCGCTCTCCGGGTTTCATTTATATCAAAAAGACTCAAATAGGCAGAAAGTCAGAGAGTTTCCAGAATACCATATCGTTTCCTCCTCACCTTTCCTTTGTGAATCCGGCCAGCTGAAGAATGTCTCATTAATGTTGATAGCCAAGACTCAGACACAAAGACAGAGGGAAAAAAAAAAAACACAGCAAGAAATGTAGTGGGGTGGATGGTGGTAAAGCAGCAGTCTGGTATACGTGTCTTGCCGTTAACCAAAGGTACACCTTCCCTCCCCATCTTCCTCCCTTAGAAAGCCCAGCAGTCATGGTGCATTAGTGCAGTGAGTGGAAAGTCACATAGTTGAGATTTGCACTCTAAAAATAGTCATTTACCGTTGTGGCGGTGGCACGGGGTGGCATCTGAAAACCTGGATGCCTGAGGACACCCCCAAATAAATCTTCTCCATCCCTTCTACAAGCAGACGGTGGGAGGGAGAGAGGGGTGCTATAATGGGCTATGTGAGGTATGGAGGATCCTGAAGGACGCCCACAGGAGAGATACGTCGCCTGTGGTCTTGCCTTGGGCAGGCCATGCACAGCACTCAGGTGGGCTGTCAAACACTTGGGGTTGAGGGGAGGGGCTCCCAAAAGCCTTAACCTTCACACGGCAACTCCTAAAGAAGCAGCCTGGATCTGGTAAATAATAATTTGCGATAACAAATACACAGGAACTTTGAAGACAATGCAATAAGTTGTAACAGTCATTAGACTGAAGTAGTTATCGCTATAAATATCAAATACTATGGGTATTTTTATCTGAACACATAATGAAATACATTATGTTGACAACCAGTACCATTTTGAAATGGCTACCAAACTTTGCAATGGTTTGCCACCAATACGGAAAATTGGTGCTTTTGATGACAGCTGGGCTGTCAGTGTAGATTCAAAATGACATCTTTGTTTTCACTTCTCCTCTTACCAGCCAAGGGCAATCATAGTAGATGAGTTGAGACTACCTATACTTGACCAGGCTGGAGATCGAAGCCTCTGGCATGGCTGAAAATGGGAAAACCATACCATCTATTCTAATATTCAAACATGCATAAGGCCTGTATAAGACTCTTCATAAAACCGATAACAACAGCATTCCATCTCTCAATAACGTACATATTTACAAAGAGAGATGCATCGTTGCAAACATCAAAGTCTCCGAGCACTGCTCAGCGGGACATCTGGGGAACGCTGCTCCGGATTCAGCGGGGAGGTCATTATCAGCCCACGTTCACAGAGTTCTCTTCATGCGCAAGTCTTTTTAACGTTTGCAAGTTAACGCCGAAACAACAGTCTGACCGTATTGTTATGGGTGGACTCCAGTCACCACTAAACTCAGAAAGCAGAGATGACTGGGACAATGCTCAACTATTCAGATGACATGAGGTCATTGTGTGCCTGTAAATCGACACAATGCAACAAGTGTAGAGAAAAAGCTCTATTCAACATTCACAAACTAGAAATGGTGTAAATTTCTATATAAGTTAGTTAGTAGTTTGCTGTATTTCAAAACCGGAGTGTGAATTACGGATGGACGTGAAATGGAAGTCAAAACTAAAAGGTTAAAAAAAATCTATCTATCTATATACATATATACAGTATATACTGTATATATGCACACACAGAAACTAATCAAAAGAGAGGTAAACATACAACGTATTGGGATATAGAGGTGGCAAGAGAAGGGGTTAAATCAAAAGAGCCTTAAATCAAAAGAAATAGCCTGTAATTCTCTGACACTGCATTCCATCTCCAGTTACTGCAAACAAGTATACAAAAAGAGCAAAAAATAGCATGCATAGCATTCATTAGCAACGAATAAAAAAAAATCTCTCTAATAGTTCCCTAAATCCCACAGCTCCCTGCACTATAGTGCGGTGAAAGAAAGATGCGAAAGAAAGCCGTCTCCCACAAGTGCTTGTTAGGGCCAAATTATTATTGCAATGAATAATTTTAAAAATAAATAAGTAAATAAATAAATAAATAAAGGAAACATTTATAGATCTAAGTATTATCAGAGGACCGAAAAGTTTGTTGCCAAGCTCAAGAGGCTTGTTTGAAATTTGCTTTTGTTTTTCACTTTGATCTTTAAAAGTTTACCTCTCCTCCAGCACTTCACCTACCTTCTCACTAATGCGGCATCCATACTGAAAACCTTAACTAATGCATGACTTAACTTATATAATAATTATAATATTAATAAAATCGTTGTATCCTTAAAGCTTACCATAAGTAGAACGCACATAAAAATGATCATGTTTTTGATATATCATGTTTTTGTCATCTACTGTTGCTTACAGATGAGCACATATATATCTAAATGCATCATAGTATAAATACCAGATTTGTGCAGTAATATAAAGTGTTTTCAAAGGGATTGGTAATGAATAAAGAGTCTCTATCTTTTTTTAAACAAACAACAATTGGTTACTTGTGTAGCAGAAAAACAAATAAATACAATGCATTTAGTGGTAAAATAGTTATTGTTAATAATCAGTTACATACTTTTAGGTTTAAAAAAAAACCAAACCACTATGTCAACTTTTGCACTGCTTGTGCTACAAAATCAAATGATACCCTTAAATTGCATGACTTGAGAAGTGTGCCATTAGCCAACCCATATATATTTACCATATCATAAAGACTTAAAACTGACCTCTTCTGACTTAGGCTAGAAAGCAACCACCACCCAGAAAACCCTAGCAACTGCCTTGCAACATGTTTGACAATTGCTTGACAACCTATTGCATTAAAGGAAGAGTTCCCCCAAGAATGAAACCATCACTTCTGGCCAAAATAAAGAGTCCATAATCCATAATAATGCTTTCTTCAGTGAAATTAGACATTAATTGGTGGACTGGAGCAGTGTGGATTATTTAGATTATTGTGAATGTTTTTATCATCTGTTTGGACTCTCATTACTGCAGAGGATCCATTGGTGAGCAAGTGATGTAATGCTAAACTTCTCCAAATCTGTTCTGATGAAGAAACAAACTTATCTACATCTTGAATGGCCTGAGGGTGAGTAAATTTACAGCAGATTTTCATTTCTGGGTGAACTTTAAGATGGCCAATATTGCAGAGGCAAACACCAATCACATTTTATTTAGAAAACATAGCTCTCTATATTAATTCATATTTGCAATCTTATCTTTCTTTCATTAGTTTTAACAGCTACATCAGAGCTTATTTGACTAAAACTGCTTCAAACTCTTACTCAGCATAGCAGAGTGCTCAATGCAGGCCTGGACTGTCTAAGAAAACAGTCTAGACAGAAAAACACAGCAAAATAAATCTAAAGAAAATGGGGCAGGAGACAAGACAGACAATGAGCACAAAATTGAGGGAGACAGGCAGAGAGAGCAACACTCGTAGTGGGCTCCAGACAACTCTCCATCCCGTCCCATGGGGATGTGCACCAGCAGAGGGGGAACAACTCAACCCTCGGCTCCAGTTCTGAGTGATATTGTAATGAGCCAGTTTCACTGGCCCTTCAACAAACCCCCTCAACACGCACACACCTCAACCAGCTCCCAAGGCCCCCGAGCGGCTCGCTCCATTCCGTTTCATCACACTTCAAACAGGCCTGGCGCGTTCCGCAGTCCTGCACCAGACCAGGGGACCACAACATCTGCATGATGTAGGAGGAGGGGAGGCGTGTCTCACGGGGGGACACGCAATGTCTCGGAGCAGATGTCACACGAACCTGAACAGCAGGACGGGGGAGGGATGCCGTGAGGCACATTGCAACAGGTTGAGAGAGACTGTTCCAGCATTGTGGCATCCCCCTGTTCCTCTTGCTGCACAGGGACCATCTGATTCAGATCTTTCCCTGTTGTTGCCCCCTTCTGCCCCCTTTGACAATAAAATTAGGTAATTAGTTACCCTCACCCTAATAAGCTAATCATGGTCCATGTGCTTTTTTCCCATTATTAAAGTCGTGTCGACCAAGGGTTCTCCCAGAGGGCTTCTCGTGCCATGCAGGAGATGGTGAGGACACCGGGGTGAGTCCGGCTGGAAGAAGACACGCTCCAGGCCTTTGTTTCAACAGTCCCTCTGGCACAGAAAGCCATGCGTCATGGACCTGCCACAAAAGATCACTTGAATAAAATAAACAGACCTCTTAAGGGAGAATCAAACTGTCTGTAGCATCACTTAACATAAGGACCATTTCACCTCTCCCTTTTTAAAAAGGCCAGGTGCTTTTTTTTAAATGACAAGTCAGGAGCAAAAAATTTTACATTTCAAAAAATAACTAAACTCTAACATGCACTTAAAAAATGTACTGTTGTTCGGCAAAACTGCATGGGTGAAATCCAGTCATTTCAGTAGGATAAGGAGTTTCGCATGAAGACAAAAAAGTTCCCCACATAGATTCATGTTCAAGTTGGTCGTGAATTCACTGCATTGACCAAAACTATGAACTGAAGTAATTTCAACAGGAACCTGCAAGATCCAGCATTTCACACGAGGGTGGAACAGTTGTAAAATTCCGCTTGTGTTCATGTCGGTCACACGAACTTGCTGTCTTGACCAACAGAAAGCTGCTTGCTTTTAAAGTGACTTATGTGACCTATTTTTCCCATGAAATGTAGCTAAAATTTCACTAATGTGACCACACATTAAATGCCTGGTGCTATGGTAGAACCTGGTGTCAATAAATATTACCTTAACAATATATAAAGCTTTATTTATTTCTTATATTATGCTTTCTTTTATTTTGAAAGTGTTAAAAGTTTTAAAATGGCAAATTAAACAAGAGGAACATTACATGACATTAGAAAGAGGAAAATAACTGACAGATCCTCTGAAATCAGAGTGGTCCAAATGTGATCCGTGCAGTGTAATCAGGCAGCGCTCGCACTAATTACAGCAGCGGACCGGTTGCACTCCCAATTACCAGCAAATACGGCAAAGCCTGCGTAGAACAATCAAGCACAGCATACGCTCGACTACACTGATTTCCCATGCTGTTGTTAGATATCTTCTGCTACAATGGGCCTCGATTGGAAACAAATACCTTTCACTGACTTCCACCGCCGAATGAGGCGGCAGCGAACAACCGCTGATTCAACCCCCAACCCTTTCACTCTGCATCCATGTACTCTTATCTGCTACTGTGGCTAAATGTAATTAGAGAGCACATTAAACTTTGCCACAGCACTTTCCAACATCGTTTCCGTTCGTTTTGTTGCCTTTATTTGTTTTGCAGAGTGAGGCATCCCGCAGAGTGTGGAGACAAGCTGCCGTGTTCTTCTCATTACACATTCAGACTGTTTTTGTCACCCAGTCGACTGGTGCCTCCAAACAGCTGTTTTCCATGGCAGTATAAATAAGCATTTGTTCTGACATGAAGGGGAAAAGAGGGTGAGAGGTAGATGGGGTAGAAAAGCCAAGCTCTGAACAGACAACATTGGGAAAAGGAGAAAGGATACCATGGAGGCTTTGTAGCAGGTAAAATATTCTTATTATAATCTCAATAGCCAAGCAACAGATAACATGTTACGCTGTTGACTATTCAGTCAGGATGTTTAGAAGATATTTGAATACTAACGCTGAGCATAAGCATGGTTTTAGCTATTTTCAGCTGTGATGGGCCCTTTCAACTTATTGCTTGAAGTTGAAGTTGAGCTTGGCTGCTGAAATGTCTCTACACTTCTTCTTTTCCAGAAACATATAAATAAATAAATGGATTCAGGAGTATCACTGAGGGGTAACAGGCCTTCACTACATCAAAGCATTGTGGGTACCAGTGGTAGGGGTGCATAAATGCAATGGCACTTTTATCACAGGCCAGTAATGAGAGATAACTTCACCACAGTAATGGCAATTTTTTATCAGCTGCAATTACTCATTTCTGTTCATATTTCTCATCAATTTCTACCCTATTAACACAGAGTAATACAAGTGAAACTCCTTGGTTATTTCATGTAAGAAAAAGATCCTATGAAAAACTGTGCCTAATGGTTAGAGATTCGAACTTGTAACCCAAAGGTCGCGATTTTGAGTCTCAGTACCAGCAGGGATTTTAGATAGAGGGAGTGAATGACCAGCACTCTCTTCAACCCTCAATACCACGACTAAGGTGAGACCCTTGAGCAAGGCACCGATTATGCTCCTCGGGCGCTGCAGCAAAAATGGCTGCCCACTGCTCCAGGTGTGTGTTCACGATGTCTGTGTGTGTGTGTGTGTTTGTTCACTACTCACTGCTGTGTGTGTGCGCACTTGGATGGGTGAAATGCAGAGCACAAATTCCGAGTATGGGATACAATACTACACGTCACATCACTTTTCACTTTAATTCTGTTTAAGAATATTTATTGTCTGATAACTTGTGTAACTCCTCTGTCATTGGTTATTAGGACATAAAAACTGCTATAACTAATTTCTAATCAAAATATTTAAATTACGTTTTGTTTTTTTATTACTTAAATTATTTTTACAATTTATTTTTACGATCTGTGTGTCATTAAAAGCGATAGTTCAAGCTAAATTAAGATCATTCACTTACCCTCATGTCAATCCAAACTCGCATTACTTTTTTTTTCTTATTATAGAACATTTCAAGAATGTTTCAATAGTTTTTGTCCAGACAAAGAAAGTCAATGGGATTCAAAACAACACTGGA